ACGGCTCAGCATGAGCAGCTGGGGGTCTACATTACCTGTTTGAGGTCTTCCAGACTGGGGTAGAAGCCGGTGAGCAGAGAGACCTCTATGATGGTCATCGTGGCATCTTGTTTGCCCAGGAACCTGGAATTCCACAGCCTCTGTCTTCCTTCTGCCCTCCCTGCCGCTCTCCCATGTTCCCGGCTGCTTGGACTAGTGCAGTAGCCTTCTCCTGCCTTCCTGTCTCCTCTGCCGCATCAACATAGAGCTTTCCCATGCAGAAATCTGATATGTCACCTCCTTGCTCGAAGGACTAATGCCTTGGGGCCAGGTGGCATGGTGGTTAAGGCGCTGGACTCCCACATGACCAGTTGTGGTTTGAATCCTGGACCTGGTGGCTTGCTTTTCTCATTTTTCCTGTCTCTCTGATCAAATTTTAAAGTAATAACAATACATAAAATTAAATAAGTAAATTATTTTAGGGACCAGCAAGTGGCGTGATGGTTAGGGGTACTGGACTCCCACATGGCTGACTGTGGTTCAAGTCCTGGACCTGGTGGCTTGCTTTCTCACCCTCTCTCTCTCTCTGTCTCTGTCTGGTCAAATTTAAATAAGTAAATAAATAAATAAAGCTAAATAAAATAATGATTTAATTTAATTTTATTTATTTATTTTAATTTGACCAGAGAGGTACAGAATGAGAGAAAGCAAGAGAGAGGGAAAATGAGAAAGCAAGCCACCAGGTCTGGGTCTCGAACCATGCAGTTGGCCATGTGGGATCCAGTTGCCTTAACCACCGCACCACCAGCTGGCCCTCCTTTGCCACTGTTGGTCGGAGTTGTCAGCTTACATTCATTTTGGGCGATCAGTTATTGTCTATCTCCCCTGAAGGACCAGGAGCTTCACCAGGGCTGGGAGAGGCCGCTGTGCTCCAAGCTACGGCCCTGGTCCCCGGGGGAGCCTGGCACACGGGACATGCTCAGTATACGTTTGTATCTGGGGCGCACCTGGGCAAGGCATCTGGGTCATGCTGCATGTCGGCTGCTGCAGAGAGCCCATCGTGCGGATGGCAGGGTGGCTAGGCCAGTGAGGTGGGGACAGGCACGGGTGGGTTTCCCCCTCCATTCCATGCACAGGAAGGGTCACCAAGGACTCTGGGTACCAGGGAGTGCCCCCCCCTTCTAACCCAGCCCAAGACCCAGGTGGCCTGACCTTGTTTCCATCCGGAGCCGGTAGGTCTCCTTTCCCTTTTTACTCTCTGTAGAGAAAAAGCAGGAATATACAGGCTGGATTGCACAGTGGTTAAGCGCAGAGTCTCTGGAGTCAGATTCTTGGGTTCAACTCTTGCTGCTGCCACTGTGTGACTTGGGCAGGTGGCTAAATCTCTCTGTGCCTCTATTTTCTCATCTCTAAATGAAGATGATAATATTCCCAGCCCGGGACCAGCAGATGGTGTAATGGCTATGTCACTGGACTCCCATGTAGTCGACTGCAGTTTGAGTCCTGGACCTGGTGGCTTAAAAATCATGCCAGGCGCGTGTGCGTGCGTGTCCAAGGTCCTGAGAGGAGAATGGAGAAGGGATTGTGGTGTGGCCATCCCCCCTGGGGGGGTGATTTCTCGCTTTCTCTCTGTCTCTCTGTCTTTCTGGTGAGCGCACGCGCCCTATAGCAAAAACCTCTCCAAAAAGGAAAAAAAGTAAAGCGGTTAACATGGTGATCGATCAGAGCTTTGTAAACATCAGGTATTATTATTGTTATTATTATTAAAAAAGAAAGAGGAAGACAAGAAAGGGGATGGAGGAGGGAGAAGGAGGAGAAGAGAGAGGAGAACAGGATACAGGGTCAAGAAGAAAACAGGGCGACCAGCAGGTGGCATGGTGGTTAAAGTGCTGGACACTCCCACATGGCCGACTGTGGTTCGAGTCCTGAACCTGGTGGCTTGCTTTCTCACTTTCCTTCTCTCACTGTGTCTCTCTTTCTGGTCATATTAATAATAAATGAATGAATAAATAAAAATAAAATAAATATTTTTTTTTAAAAAAGAAGAAAATAGAGTGAAGAAAAGTAAGAAGATGAAGGGGAAAGAGAAGAGGAGGAGAAAGAAGGAGAAAGTGTCAGAAACAAAGCCTTGGTTACTTTGGAAAAAAATTATTTAATTTCATTTGTCTTTACTATTATTACTATTATTATTTATTTTTGAGAGGTTTTCGCTATAGGGCACGTGCGCTCGCCAGACAGACAGAGAGAGACATAGAGACAGAAAGCGAGAAATCACGCCCCGGGGGGATGGTCACGCCGCAATCCCTTGTCCTCCATTCTCCTCTCGGGATCTTGGGCACGCCCACACACGCGCCCGGCGTGAGTTTTAAGCCACCAGGTCTGGGACGCGAACCGTGGTCGACTACGTGGGAGGGCAGCGACATAGCCATTACGCTAACTGCTGGTTTCAATTACTGTAATTTTAATTTGACTAGAGAGAGACAGAGAGAGAGAGAGAAAAGGAAAGTGAGAAAGCAAGATGCCAGGTCCTGCTGGCGAACCGTGGTTAACCATATGGTAGAATCCAGTGCCTTTAATCACTACGCCACCTGCTGGTCATCCTTGGTCACTTTTAGTCCCTAAAGTCCTGGGACTGGTGAGACTTGCTGCTCCTACCATCAGAATGAGGACCCAAGGGCAGTATCCTCTCCCCTCTTGGGTATCCCCAAACTGGGGTCATCTCCAAAGCCCTGACCATAGTCCAGTCCTCATCACCTCCTTCAGGACCAAAGCTTTCCTCTCCCACTGGTATCCTCTACAGTCTGTTTCTCCAAGACCAGAGGGAGCTCTGCAAACCTGTCCTAGGTCACGTCCCTCCCCTGCCTAGAACCATCCGTGGCTCCCACTTTACTCAGAGCTCGCTAATGGGTGTGGAATGACGGAACCCCGCAGGCAATGTTCGCAGGGCATCCCGGGGCCCGGGCTCACCTTCCAAGTCACTGCTGAGAGTCACGTTCAGGTGGAACAGGTTGCAGACGTTCTCCCAGGCCTCGGGGGACCTGTGGTACATGGTCAAGATCTGCCAGGGCAGGAAAGAGGGGTGTCAGAGCCCATCCCACCCACTCCGTGTTCTCTTCACCCCAGTCCTTGGCGTCTCAGGTCTCTGCCCATGTGAGGGACTCACTGCAAAACTTGCCTCTCTCAATTCTTCTTATTATTTTTTTTTAAGAATTATTCAGGGACCAGCAGGTGGTGTGGTGGTTAAGGCTCTGGACATTCCCATATGGCCAACCATGGTTCAAGTCCTGGACCTGGTAGCTTGCTTTCTCACTTTCTCTCTCTCTCTCTCTCTGTGTCTCTCTGGTCAGAATAAAATAAATAAATGAGTAAATAAAATTACAAATATTTAGAAAAAAAGAATTATTAATTTAATTTTATTTATCCTTTCATTTATTTTAATTTGACCAGAGAAAGAGAGAGAGAGAGAGAAAGTGTGAAAGCAAGCCACCAGGTCTGGCACTCAAACCGTAGTCGGCCATGTGGGAGTGTCCAGCACCTTAACCACCATGCTGCCTGCTGGTCCCCAACCTCCCTCAATTATTTTCTTTTCTTTTATTTTTAAATTTTTTAGAACTTTATGTATTTATTTTTAATTTGGCCAGAGAGGGACAGAGCAAGAAAGAGAGAGAAAGAGAAAGAGAAAGCCACCAGGTCCAGGACTTGAACTGCAGTCGACCATGTGGATGTCCAGAATTCTTAACCACCATGCCAACTACTGGTCTTTTTTTTTTTTTTTTTTTTTTTTTTTTTTGACGCGTTTTTTCTATAGGGCGTGTGGTGTGCGCTTACCAGAAAGACAGCAAGAGACAAGAGACAGAGAGACAGAAAGCGAGAAATCACCCCCCAGAAGGGATGGCCACACCACAATCCCTTCTCCTCCATTCTCCACTCAGGATCTTGAGCATGCACGCGCACACACACACGCAACTGGTGTGAGTTTTAAGCTGCTGGATCTGGGACTCGAACCATGGTTGACTCTGTGGGAGTCCAGTGATATAACCATTAAGCCATCTGCTGATCCTGCCTCCCTCGGTTATTAGGTGCAGTGGCCAGAACTGACTCTAGAGTCTAGACCAGTTCTAAATAACGGAACTTTCTAGAAGGATGGAAGATGGTCTCTGCATTGTTCAATACAGCAACCACTAGCTACATGTGACTATTGCTTTAATGGGGCTGGCAGGGGACGTGGTGGTGAAGGCACTGAACTCCCACATGGCCGATGGTGGTTCGAGTCCTGAACCTGGTGGCTTGCTTTTTCACTCTCATTCTCTCTCTCTCTGGTCAAATTAAAAAGTAATGGGAACCAGCAGTTAGCGTAATGGCTATGTCGCTGGACTCCCACGTAGTCGACCGTGGTTCGCGTCCCAGACCCGGTGGCTTAAAACTCACACCGGGCGTGTGTGTACCCAAGATCCCGAGAGGAGAATGGAGGAGAAGGGATTGCGGCGTGACCATCCCCCGGGGGGGTGATTTCTTGCTTTCTGTCTCTATGTCTCTGTCTGTCTGGCGAGCGCATGCGCCCTATAGCAAAAACCTCTCCAAAGGAAAAATAAATTAAAAAGTGATAATAATGGGGCCAGCAGATTGCATAGTGGTTACATCATTGGACTCCCACATGGCCAACTGCAGTTTAAGTCCTGGACCCGGTGGCTTGAAAATCATGCTGAGTGCGTGTATGTGCGTGCCCAAGATCCCAGGAGCAAATAGAAAAGAGATTGCAGTGTGGCCATCCCCCACGGGAGGTGATTTCTCACTTTCCCTCTCCATGTCTCTGTTTTTCTCTCGCTGCCAAGTGCATGTGCTCTATGGCAAAAACTTGTAAAAAAAATAAAAAAGGTTGAATTTTTAAATTCTAGAAAAAAAAGATTTGTTAAATTATTATTATTATTATTTTTGAAGAGGTTTTTGCTATAGGGCGTGTGTGCTTGCCAGAAAGACAGAGAGAGACAGAGAGACAGAAAGCGAGAAATCACCCCCCAGGGGGGATGGCCACGCCGCAATCCCTTCTCCTCCATTCTCCTCTCAGGATCTTGGGCACGCACGCACATGTGCCCAGAATGAGTTTAAGCTACCAGGTTTGGGACGCGAACTGCGGTCAGACACATGGGAGTCCAGTGAGATAGCCATTATGCCATCTGCTGGTTTCATACAGTGCTGTTTCCTTCCCAGCCACCCAGCCTATGTTCCAACAGCCCGGGCAGACCAAGACAGACAGAACCAGACCTACCGAGATGGTGCCTTTCCCAGTGCCACTGGCTTCAATGAGTATCTCATCCTGGGCCAGGAACTGGAGGGACAGAGAAGAGGATTCCAGGTGGTCAGGCAAACACACAAGTGTGGGGGTCCCCGTCATTTCCCCAACTTGGGATCTGGGGATTGTCACTCTCCTCTCCCCATGTGGACTCAACACTAGTTCAAGTCCCAGACCTGGCGGCTTGCTTTCTCATTTTCTCTGTCTTTCAGTCCTTCTCTGATCAAATTAAAATAAGTAAATAAATAAAGTTAAATAAAAGTATTCTTTTTAAAAAAGAGATGTTTTGCTATAGGGTGCATGTACTCACTAGAGAGACAGAGGGATAGAAAGCAAGAAATCACCCCCAGGGGGGATGGCCACTCCACAATCCTTTCTCCTCTATTCTCCTCTTGGGATTTTGGGCACACACGCACAGGTGCCCAGCGTGAGTTTCAAGCCACCAGGTCCGGGATTAGAACTACAATTAACTACGTAGGAATCCAGCGACATAGCCATTACGCCATCTGCTGGTCCCTCATGTCTTTGTTTCTTTTTAGATTGTGTGTGTTTCCTGAGGACAAAGACCACCAGTTTCACAACGCACCCCCAGTGTCTGGGAGGGAGATTGGCAGGTCACGGTCGGGCAATGTCTGGGAACTGTATTGACAATATAACCAAGTCCCCAGCACCTATAAGGTCATCTCAGGAGAGACATAACTTTTTTTTTTTTTTTAGAGCTTTTTGCCATAGGGCATGTATGCTTGCCAGAGAGACAGAGAGAGACAAAGAGACAGGAAGCGAGAAATCACCCCCCTGGGGGGATGGCCACGCCGCAATCCCTTCTCCTCCATTCTCCTCTCGGGATCTTGGGCATGCACGCACACGCGCCCGGCATGAGTTTTAAGCCACCGGGTCCGGGACGCGAACCGCGGTCGACTACGTGGGAGTCCAGCGACATAGCCATTACGCTAACTGCTGGTTCCCCAGAGACATATCTCTTGACCTCACCTCCCGTGCCGCCCCTGGGTGGACTTCCAGTCTGCTGAGGAACCGTACCTTTGCTGAGCGCTGCTGGTAAGCGTTGCTATGATCGATGTGCCACCCCACGTTTAAGGCTCTCTTGGGGACTTGAAGCTGGACGTGGAGATCCTGGTCACCCTCGAAAGGGACAGCTTCGCGGTAGCGAGCCAGGGCTTCGAGGGCCACCACGGTGGTCTGGGTGTGCGGACGGGGGCCGCGGATCAGCACCACGGACAGCTCCAGGCAGCCCGCGGGCCGGCGCGTCAGCACCTCGGCCAACCCCACCTGCCGGGGCCCGTCACCTGCGTGGACTGGAAGCCTCCTCCCAGCTCGCGTTTCTGCAGGATCCACTTGGCGATGGCGTGCGTTTCGTTGTAATGACCCAGCTGCAGCTTCTGCAGCAGCGCGTAGGCTGTGGCCTCGATGATGTACAGGGCGCCCAGCGTGGGCTCTGGCCAGAACGTTTTGTCTAGAAGGAGGACAGCCGCCTTGTGGCCCACAGCTGGGCCCTCCCAGGGCAACCTGCCCTCTCTTGGTCATCCGGCCCGGTGTCGCTCATCTACCGTTTAACTGAGCACCTGCTTTAAGTAACGCCCTTGGGGCCAGCAGAGGGCGTGGCAGTTATGTCACTGGACTCCCACATGGCTAACCGGGGTTTGAGTCCCATACCCGGTGGCTTAAAACACACCGGGCACGTATGCGTGTATGCCCAAGATCCCAGGAAGAGAATGAAGGAGAAGGGGTTGCGGTGTGGCCATCCCCCCTGGAGGGTGATTTCTCACTTTTCGTCTCTCTCTCTTTCACCAGCGAGTGCATGTGCCCTCATGCAAAAACCTTCAAATTAAAAAAAATTATTTTATTTAACTTTATTTCTAATAATAATAATAATAATATTCTTTGATCAGACAGCAAAAGAGAGAGAGGGAAAGTGAGAAAGCAAGCCACCAGCAACAGGACTTGAACCGTGGTTGGCCATGTGGGAGTCCAGTGCCTTTAACCACCACTTCATCTGCCAGTCCTTAAAAACTGTTTTTAAAGAAGGGATGTCGTTTGCTGAGGTACTCCCCAGGAGACAGAACTCTATTTAGATAGAGATGGGGAAATCAAGGCTCAGTGAGGCTCCCCCAGGGCCCTCCAGTTCCATTGCAAGCAAGTCGTTTTTTTTTCCCTTTCTTTCATTCTCTCTTTCTTTTTAAAAATATTTTTGTTAGATGGCATATCCACTTGCTGGAGAGAGACAGAGAGGGAACGTGAGAAACCATCCCCTACCCCGGGGGGACGGCCACACCATAATCCTTTCTCCATTCTCCCCCCAGGGCACATAAGCACAGGAGCCTGGTGTGTTTTTCAAGCTGCCAGGTTCAGGACTCTAATCACTCGGCCATGTGGGATCCAGCTGCCTTAACCATCATGCCACCTGGCTGGCCCACAAGTTCTTTTTCTCTTTTTCTTTCTTTCCTTCCTTCCTTCCTTCCTTCCTTCCTTCCTTCCTTCCTTCCTTCCTTCCTTCCTTCCTTCCTTCCTTCCTTCCTTCCTTCTCCTCCTCCTCCTCTTCCTTCTTCCCCAATAGGCTTGCGTGCTTGTCAGAGAGACAAGGGCAGAAAGACAGGGACAGAGAACGCCCTGTTGTGTTGAGGTGTGGTCACACTGCAATCCCTTCTCTATTGCTCTGTCCTGTTGGGATTTTGAGCACAGTGAGAGAGAAAGTGACAAATCACCCCCTAGAGGGGATGGCCACTCCACAGTCCCTTCTTCTCCATTCTTCTCCTGGGATCTTGTGCATGCACACATACATGCCCGGCATGCTTTTGAAGCCCCCAGGTTCAGAGCTTGAACCACAGTCAGCCGTGTGGGAGTCCAGCAGTGTAACCACTCTGCTATCTGCTGGCCCCTCGGATTAATTTTCAATTTGCCATAGGGCACATGCACTCACCAGAGAGAGACAGGGGGAGAGAGAGAAAGTGAGAAAGTAAGCTGCCAGGTCTGGGACTCGAATCCCAGTCAGCCATGTGTAAGTCCAATGCTCTTAAGCACCACACCACCTATTGCCCCTCTGGTATTTTTTTTTTTAATGGATTGGTTTTTAAAAAGAATTATTTATTTATTTAATTCCATTTGTTGTTGTTATTATATTATTATTATTTTTATTTGACCAGAGAGAGAGAACGGGAAAAATAAGAAAGCAAGCTGCCAGGTCCGGGACTTGAACTGTGATTGGCCATGTGGAAATCTAGCACCTTTAACCACCGTGCCACCTGCCGGGCCCAATTATTATTTTTTAATTTGACAGAGAAAGAAAGAAGGAGAGAGAGAGAAAGACAAAGTGAGAAAGCAAGCCTCCAGATCCAGGACTTGAACCATGGTTGGCCATGTGGGAGACCATTGCCTTACTCACCGTACCACCTGACAGCCCCCTGGTGTATTTTTTAAGCTACCGGGTCTGGGATTCCAACTGTGGCTGGCCATGTGGGATCCAGCTGCCTTAACCACCAGGGTGGTGTGGTGGTTCCAGGCATGTTCTTCTACGTCTCTTCATTCAACTTGGGGAATGCAGAAGATGGGCCCCGGGGGAGATGAGATCGGGCAGGCCACGGGAGGCAGGCCACGGGAGGCAGCCCCCTCGATCACCCACGTTTACAGGCGTCTCTTGTCTTTGACCACACCAAGCACTCTTGTCCGCCTCAGGGCGTTTCCGGGTGCTGCTTGCTGCCTGTTCTTGGCGTAGCTTGGCCTTCCACACTGGTATGTCTTCCCATTGTTCATCCCAGCCCTCCGATCAACCGCCCTCCCCTCACCGTCCCTCACGCCCACCTTCCAGCTGTCATCTCAGCTTATCCTAACTGGTAATTACATCCACCTGGCTCTCTTTGCCCACTCCCCCTAGGAACGCTGGAACCCTTGAGTGCAGACATTATATCAATCTCGTTCTTCTTGGGACCAGCCGGTGGCATGGTGCTAAGGCAGCTGGATCCTACATGGCTGCCTGTGCAGTTCAAATCCTGGGCCTGGGGGCTTGACAATCATGCCAGGAGCATGTGTATGTGTGCACAAAATCCCGAGAGGAGAATGGAGGAGAATGGATTGTAGTGTGGCCATCCTCCAGTGGAGGGGAGGGTGATTTCTCACTCTCCCTGTCTCTCTCTCTCTCTGGTGAGTGCACATGCCCTATGGAAAGACCGAATAAACAAACACACATACATATACGGCTCATCTTGGTCTCTCAGGGTCCGAGCTGAAGAGCTGGGACAAAGCAGGTGCTCAGTAAATGCTACGTGATGACTCACAGGTTACCCGACTTTAGACCCACTCCTCAGCCCCCCAGCCCACCAGGGTTCCCGAGACTGCAGCTCACACACAGTCGGTTAAGAAGTGCCCCTACCCACCATAGCTGGCAAAGCTGTCCAGGCGGTCATTGGCGTGGGGACTGTCTGCCAGGGCCAGTGCATAGGAGATGATAGTGATGGCAAAAGTGGTATTAATATTGGGGAGCTGTCTCTCCAGGAAGCCGCGGGCTCGCTCAATGCTGGTCAGAAAATTCTAGAAGGTCGGAGGGAGGTGAGGGCAGAAAAGAGGTCGAGGAGTTAGAAGAGAGGGTTGCACAGGGTGATGAGGGTGCAGAGGCAGGTCCAGCCCTCATCCATGGGGTCCTACCGGTATCTTCGGGGAGCAGATCTCCTTCCCTTCATGCAGGGCGATCAGGACCAGAGCTGTGAGGGAGATGTTCCCCTCGGAGCCTTGGTAGCCACCCTGTGAATGCAGAGCCATGCCCGTGACCCCCTCCGCATCTTGGGGACGCCCTTCCCAGCCTCCCCTGCCCAACCAGAGGTGCTCGGCTCAGGCTTGGATGATGCCAGAGGTGGGATGGGGAGAGACGGGGAGAGCTCTCTCGGGGTCTGCCCACCAGCAAACGCTAACAGCTCCAGGCCCAGCTACCGCGATGCAGCAGCAACGCAGGTGCCCTGACTGCAAGACGGAAGGACATACGGCTGGTGGCAGGTTTGAATCCCTGGGTCAACTCGGAGACGCACTGGAGGCCTGAGGAGCATGGTACTGTGGCATGCTAAGGCTTTGTCAGAGGTCTCTGTCTCTCCCTCTCTTTCTCATGTGCATGCATGTGTCATCTATCATCATCATCATCATTTAAAAAGAATGGAGGAGGGACCAGCAGGTGGAGTGGTGGTTAAGGCGCTGAACACTCCCACATGGCTGACCACGGTTTGAGTCCTGGACCTGGTGGCTTGCTTTTTCACTTTCCCTTTTTCTCTCTCTCTCTCTGTGTCTCTCTCTGGTCAAATTAAAATAAAATGAATGAATAAAAGTAAATAAATATATATTTTTTTAAATGTGCAACCTGCAAAAAAAAAAAAAGAAAAAAGAATGAAGGAGAAGGCATAGCAATCCCACCTGGGGGACCGATTTCTCACTTTGTGTCTCTCTGTCTCTCACTGTCTCTCTGGTGAGTGCATGCGCCCTATAGCAAAAATCCCTCTAAAAAATAATTAAAATAATTAAAGGGGCCAGCAGGTGGTGTAGTGGTTAGGGCACTAGACTTCTACATGGTGAACCGTGGTTCGAGTCCTGGACCTGGTGGCTTGCTTTCTCACTTTCCTTCTCTCACTCTCTTTCACTCTGCTCCTCTCTGGTCAAATCAAAATGAATAAATAATGAAAGAATGTGAAATCGTTCTAAAAAAAGGTTTTAAATAATTAAAATAATAATAAATACAATGAAATAAAATAATTTGGGGGTGGGGGACCAGCAGTTGGTGTAATGGCTATGTCGCTGGACTCCCATGTAGTCGACCACAGTTCGAGTCCTGGACCCAGTGGCTTAAACTCATTCCGGGCGCATGTGCGTGTATGCCCAAGATCCTGAGAGGAGAACGGAGGAGAAGGGATTGCGGCGTGGTCATCCCCCCTGGGGGGTGATTTTTCACTTTCTGTCTCTCTGTCTCTCTCTGTCTTTCTGGCGAGCACACGGGCACTATAGCAAAAACTTGTCCAAAAAAAGAAAAAAAAATTTTAATTTCTCTCCACTCCCTCAGCTCTGGCCCTCCCCTCTTGTATGGAGTTGGAAGTGTTGCCCCAAATTCATATTCCCCGAGAGCCTCTTGATGCTATCTTGTTTGAAAATAGGGTCTTTACAGGTATAATACGTTATGAGGAGGTTGTAGAGGATTTGTGGGGGCCCTAAATCCCATGCCAGGTGTCGTTGTAGGAAGGCCATGTAGAGCTGATGGCGGTGCTGACGTAAAGCGGGACCCTCTGTGTGAAGCTGACCCACATGGGAAAGTGGCCAGCCTGTGTCCAGAGACCTTCCAGAGAATAAAGATATTATTATTGTTGTTGTTGTTCTAGAGAGGATTTTTGCTATAGGGCATGTGCATTTGCCAGGGAGACACAGAGAGAGACACAGAGAGAGAAAATAAGAAATCACCCCCCAGGTGGGATGGCCACACCACAATCCCTTCTCCTCCATTCTCCTCTTGGGATCTTGGGCACGCACATGTGTCTGGTGTGAGTTTAAGCCACCAGATCCAGGACTCGAACTGCAGTCAAGTACATGGGAGTCCAGTGACACAGCCATTATGCCAGCTGCTAGTCCTCCAAGCATGAGTTTCTAACTGCCAGGTCTGAGACTTGAACCACAGTCGGCCATGTGGGAGTCTAGCGCTTTAACCACCAGGCCACCTGCTGACTTCATTATTGTTATTTTTAGAAAAGGAAGGCCATGCGGGCCTGGCCTTGCAGACTTATGGTTAAGGAAGCCCAATCCCGTGCTCAGTCACGTGGGACCCGGCTGCCCACCAGCTGACGTGGGAGCAAGGAGGAGCTCCGTCCGATGCCCCGCGCCTTGTCCCCAGGCTGGAGAGAGGTGGCCTTAGACACTGACCCTTTGTTCCTTCAGTCTCTTGTCTACCCGAGAGCGGATCAGGGGCTTGAACTTCCCACGAGAGCAGGGATCCCTGGGTCTTGTTCAAATGGCCCAGGCAGGGGGACAGCAGGTACCTGCATGGATGACATGACCACGGGGCCCAGCTCCAGGAAGCTCCCATCCACCATCTGCCTGTTGGTGATGAGCCAGTCGGCCATGGTGCAGAGATCGGACTTCTTCATTGTGTCAGCCATCACCGTGGAGTAAGCCAGCGCTGAGACCCGGAACACGTAGCTTGTGAGCCTGTGGGGGGGGGGTGTGTGTGACAGCTGGGAACAGCTCTGGGACAGGGTGTCTACACTCCAGAGGAGTCCAGACTGGCCACCAGCCGGGGGCCACCCATCCGAACACCCTTTCAGTGTGGCTGCCCCTGGGTTGTCCAGGCCTGGGTTGGGCCCGCGGGCTTCCACAGTGGCAGTGGAGTGACAGGGTCCCCCTCACCAGGTGCTGCCTATGTTCGTGGAGGTGTGGTAGGCGCCGTCTCGCCTTCGGTATTTCAGCATCTGAGTGAAACCTGGGGGACGGAGGGAGCAGGGCTTGCAGGGAGAGCTGGCAGGTGCAGCCCAGAGGACGCCGTCATCCACAGATGCCCTATGGAGGCTTCAGGACCACGGCCTGGCCGTGACTAAGGAAGACCTGGCATGCCATTGTATCTGTCTGGAAGTACCCCACATTGGGGAGTCACCCCGAACGTGACGTTTACAGGGACCACAGAAGGTGTTGTCCAGGAATGTCCTGAAGAAGGGATAGTCTGAGGGGCCTTGCATGGAGGTTTTCTTTTTTCTTTTTTGAGAGATTTTTGCTATAAGGTGCGTGTGCTTCCCAGAGAAACAGAGAGATAGAAAGTAAAAACTCACACCCCCGGGGGGGATGGCTGCACTGCAATCCCTTCTCCTCCATCCTCCTTTCAGGATTTTTTTTTTTTTTTGGAGAGGTTTTGCTATAGGGCGCGTGCGCTTGCCAGAAAGACAGAGACAGAGAGACAGAAAGCGAGAAATCACCCCCCAGAGGGCATGGCCACGCCGCAATCCCTTCTCCTCCATTCTCCTCTCGGGATCTTGGGCACGCACGCACATGTGCCTGGCGTGAGTTTCAAGTCACCAGGTCTGGGACTTGAACTGTAGGGTTGGCCATGTTAGATTGGACTGCCTTGACCACTAGACCACAGAGCTAGCCCCCTACATGGAATTTTTTGTGGTTGTTGTTACTTCTCGGGTATAAATTTGGGGTCTCTGTGTGTCTGTGTCACCCAGGAGACATTACTCCTGGGTGTAACCTTGAAGGGACCTTTCTCAGTTATCTTCTCAGGGAGGGGGGTACGATTTGTGTGTGTCACCGGAGATGACAGTGTCTGAGTGACCTGGGCAATTACTATTGGAGAGAACTTGGGCGGGGAGTTGGAGTCTGTGTATAAAGATGAAGAAGCCTCCGGCCAGCAGGTGGTGTGGTGGTTAAGGTGTTGGAATTTCCACATGGCCCACTGCGATTCGAGTCCCGAAACTGGCGGTTTGCTTTCTCACTCTCCCTCTCTCTGTCTCTCTGTCTTTCTCTGGCAAAACTCGTGAAAAATAAATTAAAAGAAAAGAAAAAAAGATGAAGAAGCGTCAGCATCCAGATCAATTTGGGGGTCTCTGTCTGGATCTGATCAGGGGCATCCTCCTCTGGTTGTTCCCTGGGGGGAGGGGTTGGCTGTAACTTGACCCACGTTCAGGTATAATCAAGAGACACCCCATAGGGGAACCAGCAGTTAGCGTAATGGCTATGTCGCTGGACTCCCACGTAGTCGACCGTGGTTCGCGTCTCGGACCCGGTGGCTTAAATCTCACGCCGGGCGTGTGTGCGTGCGTGCGTGCCCAAGATCCCGAGAGGAGAATGGAGGAGAAGGGATTGCGGCGTGGCCATGCCCTCTGGGGGGTGATTTCTCGCTTTCTGTCTCTATGTCTCTGTCTGTCTGGCGAGCGCACGCGCCCTATAGCGAAAACCTCTCCAAAAAAAAAAAAAAGAGGCACCCCATGGGATTATTCTGGGGGTTGTCACCCATACATTCCCCAGAAGTGTAAGAGGGTGAAATAGAGAACAGTGACAGCATCGGGGCTTAACGCTTCCTAGGGGGGTGGCTGCTACTTAGAGGGAGTCTCTTGTCAGACTAGCTTGGAGAGGGGCTGGGATTCAGGGGCATCTCTGGGCTGCAGTTTAGGGGTGCTCTGGGATAACTTGTGTCATGTTGCAGCCTGGTGGGGGTCAGAATTTGGGCATTTTTTAAATAGAGATTTTTGCTATAGGGTGCCTGTGCTTGCTGGAGAAACAGAGAAAGACAGAAAGTAAGAAATCACCCCCCAAGATGGTCACACTGCAATCCCTTCTCCATTCTTCCCTCGGGATTCTGGGCACACGGGAACCTGTGCCTGGCATGAGTTTTAAGCCACCAGGTCTGGGACTCGAACCGTGGACGACTACAGTTAGACTACGTAGGAGTCCAGCGAAGTAACCATTATGCCATCTGCTGGTCCCAAGTTTGGGCATTTTTATCCCGGTAGTCCTGCGGGGGCTTCCTTCAACTCTGGGGCACCCCAGCCACCCTTCCGGACAGCCCCCGGTTGTCACCCTTGTCGACGTCCTCACCGGCGACAATGTTGTTGGTCACTTCGTCCCGGCGCTCCACCCCGATCTTGTCCCACTGGCCCGTGGAATCCAGGTAGCGAGTCAGGATGACGACCTGCGCCAGCATGCTCAGCGTCTGCTCGGGGCAGCCGGTTGGGAGCCTCACCAGTCGCCACATTTCTCTGGGTGTCAGGCTGCCCAGGATGGTCTCCCCAAGGATGTCACCTGGCAAGTGACAGGGCCAGGTCACCTCGGGAGTGGCCTGAGCCATCAGGGTTTCCTATTGACCAGACAGGCCCCGCCCACCTTCGCGGCTCCCCCCACACCCG